TCATTTCTTTAGTCAAACTTGCTGAGTTCGAATTCTTTTATTCTAAATCGTCCCTCCCAAAGACAAACATTTTTTACTTTTTACTTCATAGTCATTTTTACTTAACAAGATTACAATGCTTATAAAATTGGCTTTATGCTATTTATAAATTTTAAAAGTTGACAATATAAATTCAATATTAAGCTTTAAAAATGTAAATAATTAAATCGCACATATATTTTATATGCCATGGTTTTATGCCATTCTTCGAAGTACATTACAAATTCTGAACGAAAAAAATAAAAATAGTCGTATTCATTGCATCTGAAGTTTTTATTTATTTTTTTACTTTAGATAGAATTACAAATTACAAAAGGTAAAGTTGTGATTACAGATATATATTTGTTTTATGCTAATATTTCAACGTTCGGAGTTTTTAATATGCTGTCTTATATGCTACCAATACACTCACAGTATTACGTGCTCAGGTGTAGTTTTTTTTTTAACAGAAGACATTTCTTACAACATACCTTCTGTTGCTTGCCTTTCCTTTAACATCAGACTAGTTCAACTAAAACTAACACAATGCACTTTCAAAACGTTTTTGACTGTCAATCGATTTGAAAACGTCTCTAACTCAACTTCGTTCATTTCAAAAAGAGTTTAAATTTTAAACAATTTTCCTTATAGGCCTACATTGTTATTATGAAATATGAATTACTCTATTACGAAACCAGGGTCGTAATAAGTGAAACATACAATTGTCTTTATTTTCCTTAATTCTGTAATTATGGAGTTTCATCAAGTCTCGACTATTTCAAGTATTAACTATTTTGGGCGCGGCATGACCAGATGGTTAGAGCGCTTGACTCGCAATCTAAGGGTCGCAGATTCGAATCTCCGTCCCACCAAATATGCTCGCCCTTTCAGCCGTGGGGACGTCAAAATTGACGGTTAATCCCATTATTCGTTGGTAAAAGAGTAGGCCAATACTTGGCAGTGGGTGGTGATGACTAGCTGCCGTCCCACTAGTCTTTCATTACTAAATTAGGAACGGCTAGCACAGATAGCCTTAGTGTAACTTTGCGCGAATTTCAAAACAAACAAACAATTATCTATTTTATAGCATATAAATCTAATCGACTATCTTAATATTTAATGAGATATAGTTTATAATTTTGGTGAGAAATCAAACGTACCTTACTATATAAGATATTAAACCACACCAATTAGGCAAGTTAGATCACAAGCATTATTCAACGATATTGAACTTTCAACTGCTTATAACTATATGATAACTAAGTTCCAAAAAACAACCACAAATGAAGTCAAAATAAATCCAAGAACCAAACTAGATAACTACATATAACAAGATGGTACTTTAATTCCAAAAGAACCAAGCTAGATAACTACATATAAAAAGATGGTACTTTAATTTCAAAAGAACCAAATTAGATTACTACACATAACTAAATGATTCTTTAGTTGTAAAAGAAACATATTAGGTTACCATACATATTACTACATGACATCTGAGTTCCAATGGAAATAAATTATGTCAAAATACATAAGTGGGTAGCATTTAATTTCAAAAGAATCAAAGTAGGTCACTAGAGATTATTAGACGATCTATTAAGCTCTAGCAGAAACTACCCGGCTCACCTCAACTCACCAACAAACATCAAAGTTCCAACATTACTCCAATTATTTCTCCACACATTCTCAAAATACATCTATCCTCCAAGATAACCCAAGTAGTTGAATTATTTGAATATAACATCCAAATTCAAACGACATTAGCTAGATGGTTGTACGTCACCAGATGACATGAGAATTCCCGTGAAATTGCGGTAGTAATAGTAATTTTGTTTATATTTTTTTATATAAACCATAGTTTTGTTATTGTTTTTATTGGACCCTGTAACCAATGAAGTTGTAGACTCACAATCAATATTGTGTTTAAGTTCCTTAGAAAAAACGAGACCCAGATCCTTGGTAATTCTAGGATTAACTTTCTAGATGGCACCAACATAGAAGAAAAACCTAATAAAGTCACCATACAATACTAAATGATGTCCCTTATATAAAATAGTACTGTAATGACACATTTCTGGCAAATACTTAGTTATTCTCCGGTAGTAATATCTACTTTGTCATATTTAATATCATGCTAAAATATAGCTATAGTTACAACGCTAACAAGTATCTTTAACTTACAACATAGAAAGCTACAATGGAAACATTAGAGGGTGAATTAGCAGAAGATTTATTTATTAAACTAACATGTTGACACATTTTAAAAAGCGTTTTTATATACATATAGATTTTCAAAAAAGTATATACTTATTTGTTGTAACTTGTGACATCACAAATGCACCGGATGTTTTGAATATTTCGTGTAAAATAATGTTTCTTCTTTTATTAAAAACACTTGCATCTCTCACACTGAGTCATATATGTCAGTTGAAATCGATTTTTTAACGCCATACCCAAGTTTGTGGTAAGAGACTAGATATTATGATCAATGGTTGTTTACTGCAAAAATAGTTGATTTATCTCACTTTGTAGAACGTTTTATAGAAGGAAGGAAAAACTAACGTTTTCAATAGTAGATTTCAGCAACCTTGAAATAAATCTCGTTCATCTACAAGATAGACATTTACATAGTACGTTAATCACGTATACGGGATTTTATGTAATTAAAGAAACAATTTTATTATCTTTACTATTTATTATGCCGTATTTTGTGCAACTTCTCACTTAGAAAATTTCCTTACCTTCTCACGTGTATCGTATTATTTTAAGCTGGCTTTAAATCTATATAACCCACATAGATTGAACAGTGAAACGAGTATGAATATGTCTAAATATACATACCTTCAGTATCTGTATCCATTTTCTACGTGAATGTTTCACATTTCAAATAAGCATACAATGATGCTTTGATAATATCAACTAAAACTTAATGATCTGTTTGTTTTGAATTTTGCGCAAAACTACATTAGGGCTATCTGCGCTAGCCTTCCCTAATTTAGCACTGTAAGACTAGAGGGAAGGCAGCTAGTCATCACCACCCACCACCAATTCTTGGACTACTCTTTTACCAACGAATAGTAGGATTGACCGTCACATTATAACGCCTCCACGGCTGAAAGGACGAGTATGTTTGGT